GCTTCGGTGTTGGTTTTCTTTGCAAACCGTCCTCCAGTACCCCTTGGCCTCCTCATAGCATGTTGATGCCGAGATTCATGGAGATAAGGCTGTGGAGCAAGCAAACAAAAAAAAAGATGCATTAAGCAGTGTGATGCGTTCACATTTCGATCAGAGCTCTCAAGAAACTAATAATATCCATGGTAACACGCAATTCACCTTTCTGGATTTTATTAGCTTCTTCTCTAGCTCTGCCTTGGCGCGTGCCTGCCTTCGCCTCAGAATCGCCTGGTACTGTTTAGCATTCACAAAAACTGGTTCTTGTGCCATCTCAGGAGGCAGTTGCATTCTTGAATGAGGCATCCCACCATATGGAACAAAACCCTGATAAAGAAAGTGTTATTTATCAGAAAGTCACATGGAAGCTACAAAAAGATAAGAAGAGCCATAGAACCCTGTCGTTAACTAAATGCATCTTCTCAATATCTCCAATAAGCTGCTTTAAATCATAACTCATATATATATAAGGAACACTGTAAGGCAATTATATTCATGCTAGACTTCAAAACACCTACAGCTAATAGAATATTTAAACATGCACTATCATGCTTCACAACACAATAGCAGTCATGAATCATGGCATCCAAACATGTCACATGGTTATATCGTCTTAACAGAGAAAATTAGTTGAGGCATTAGGAAAGCTTATAAATAGTTTGGAATTGGAAACAAAGTCATATACCAAGGGATGATGTCCATAGGCTCCCATCACTCCTGCATAATATGGATCCTGGTATGGATTTGAGGATGCCCATCCCTGCATGATTCATAACCGAAAAAATAGAACTTGTAAGCAACCATAAGAATTGATATTTATCAGCTAGATCAAAAATATATTGGGAAGTTACAACTGTCGGGCCAACAAGTTGAGGGTGAGGAGGAGGTTGTGTGATGCCAGGATGCAGAGATTCTTGATTTTTATCACTTCCAGCTGCATATCAAAATAAACCAACAACACTTGGTTAGGAGAATTGCAAACACCTATAAGAAAATCCGCAAAGTGTAGCACCAAGAGAACAAATCAGTGCACCTGACTGGGGAGACGTTGTGACTTGTGATTCTTTATTAACATTATCCTCTCTATTTGATGGTGACTTCGAGCCGTTTGATTCCAATGCTAATGCTATTGACTTAGAAGATTTATCTCCAGCTTCCACACAAGAATTTGCATTGCAGGCAGCAGCAGCACGATGCCAAGGGTTTAAACTATTTATAGACGACGATAATGTACCATGAACCTCTGAATCAATCTTGTTCCCACTGTCAGATTTTGAATGCATGTCTTCAATTCCCTATTCAAAATCCGTTTGTTAGTGATGAATTACAACTACATAATCCATTTCTATCGAACCAAGACCAAAAACATAGACACAGAAATACAAAATTCAATACGATTTCAGCAATTTTGACTCTTAATACTCCACGAAAGGATTCAGTAACAAGAAACAAGCAAAACCCAGAAACGTAAGAAGATAGAATTCAACAAAATCGAGACTTGAATTTCGCAACTTTGAAAAAATTGAGAGATGGGAATAAGAGAACAACAAGCCAACAAAACCCTAGAACAAAAGGTATAAGAAGCTTCATGCAATCAACAGCGATTTGATAAATGATCGAAATTTCGAGATACCATTCAATCAAAGAACGAAGGGAGAGTGTCGGAGGCGTCGACGGTGATTGAAGGAGACGCTTCCGCTTGGAAGATGAACGATCTGAGGAAGATTTTTCAGTCAGAAGAAGAAAAAAAACAATTTTTATGGAATTGAATTTTATTATATTTTTTTTGTTGTATTTGATCGTCGTATGAAGTATTAACTTTTGTTCCGTTTTGAATCTGGGCTGCCACGTGCTGTCCACGTGAACGGCGGCAACACATAACTTTTAACTTATTTTTATGGTTAGTTATTAAAATTCGAGTATGAGTAATTAACTTACCTGGGCCTATAGTGGGCATATAGCTTGTATCTTACAAAGGCCCAACATTTTAACCCTTTTTTTTCCTTCAAAATATATTTGTGTTATTTTCAGCTTTTCTCAGCTGATTGGTGGTACTGAAGAAATGAACAATAGTAAACAATAAAATAGATAAGCAGAATAAAGTGATAAAAATATAATGTAACTATATTAGAATAGAACAATATGAATTTTTTTTATTGAAATGGCTAATTATTTCAACATAAATCACAATATTATAAATTTATGTGATTGATAACTTTTGAAAAATACTTGGATTCACTCCTATGAGTAAACCTTATATCCACCTTCTTTATTTCAGCCAATCAGAATCTGCCACCTAATAATAATATAAAAAATTCATTTAATTATAAAATCTAATTTACCACTAAAACAAAATTATGTATCGGTTTGGGTTTATTAGAAAGGGTTAGGGCTTAGATTTATGATTAAACGAAGTTAAATATCGGTTTGAGTTTATAAACGGATTTAAATTTTATAACTAAACGAGATTAAATATCGGTTTAGATTTATAAAGTACGATTAGAATTTAGATTTTTTACGATTAAACGAGTTTAAATGGCGGTTTGGGTTTACAAAGGAGAATTAGAGTTTAGATTTTATAATTAAACGAGATTATATATCGGTTTGGATTTATAAAATAGTTGTTAGAGATTAGATATAATAATTAAATGAATTTAATTTTTTATTATGTAGTGAATTCCGATTGTTTAAAATAAAAAAGATGAATAAAAGGATCTATCCGTAAAGATGAACCCAAGTATTATTTTTATATAGAACTGAGATACTATTGTACGGAATATCAATTAAAATCACAGTCATAGTGTTTTCTTGTTCTTTCTGTCAAATCTTTCTTATCCATAATCCTTTTTTGAAAAAATCTTTCTTATCTTTGAGTATTTTCTTAAGCAAATCAATTAGCTTTTTTAAAGAAAACAAATTGAATTTTTGGGCGTATTGGCTGATAATTCCTTGTCTGCTTGATGGAATTTTGTTTTGTACATTTCTAGTTATAATTAAAATTACTAGATTTAAAATCCGCGTTATACTGCGAAATATATTCTTTAAATTATGTTTAATTATTAACTTAAACTAAAATATTTTATTTCAAATGAATAAAAAGATATTTGAAGAAAATTTTTTAGCTTATGTTCTTGATTACTAAAGAGTTCGAGCACTTTAGAAGTGAAATATGTGTTTGGGAGGACCCAATTGCCAACTACTTTCCTCCAAAACCGTTCAAGAATGAAAGGTATTCCACGTATGTTGCTTCCTCAGAGAATCACCGCCTTTCTTGTTACGGTCTGCAACAATATTGGTAACACGTTGCTTAATCTTTGAGTTCTTTTCATTCCTTTGCCCTTTTTTCAAATTTTCAATTAGAATATAAAAATTTATTATATCAAATCTCAATGAAGTTAAATACGTGTACTAGTTTTTCTACTTTTTTAGTCTAAAAATGAAGGTGAGGTGAGAGGACAATTGGTTTTCTTGTATTGATACTAAACATACTTATAAATATGAAAAGTTCAGTTTTAAAAAAAAAAAGCCTAAAATGTTAATCTAAGAAGAATGATGTGGAACATGGAAAAATTCTTATTAGACAAAAATATTGAGTTGTATTAATTATTATAATTCGATTAGATAAATGTTTTAATGATGTATCATACTAAAAAAAATTTTAAATACTTAGATGTCCGAAGAAATCCAAGGGTAGTTTTATTATATTGATTTTAAAGACACTTTTAATTACTTCGACCCTTTCTTTGTATGGATTTGTATTCAAGTAGAACGTATATTAGTCAAAAATAATATTTTCTCTGTTGAAAAAAGAATAATCATCCTGTATTATCGATGATTTGATAAAGATGTGTTTTTAACTTTTTGTGAAAAAATTAAAAATAAAAAACTATATAAGAAAAAAGAGAGAGAGAGAGAGAGAGAAAATGATGAGAAAGCCGCACGAGTAGGTTCATTGGATTCCCTTGGCGGATGTTATCCTCTGCCTCGACACTGCGGCCATCCCCACTAACTCTTCACATATTTCTCGTCTCTTTCCTTTCACTAATTTTATAACATTATCTACATACTGTATTTCTTGTTAGTGAACACTAATAGAAATGTTTGAAGTTAACAGAAGTGGAACAAAAAGATGAATTTAATTTAGAAAGAAAGTGTATGAAAATAATTCTACTAAACTTTGAAATATTATATAAAGATGAAAAGCTTAAGTTAACATATTTGACATTAATTCCTTTTTTTTAAATGTGCTAATCAAACTTGGTGGGATTTGATTACATTAAAAAATGGGCATATCAGAAACTACTTTTTCTCTAATTTGTTTGATGATAGAGAGAAGGTATTTATTGTTATGATTTAATTAGAAATGCGTGCATACATACATATGCATATAAAATTTATTTTTATATTATAAAGTTGCTGAAGATTGACTTAGCAAACTTAATTTATGCTCGTTTCTATGCGGTGTTAATGTTATTGGACCTAAACTCAGTGCGAAGTTCCACGCAAAAGGTGAGTGTTTCTCAATCAAATAATATTTGTATAATCCTGATAGTTTTACTTTTAAAAGTTGTATATATGTCTAAGATCATCAAGAACTTCCTAACTAAGATATAAAAGTTCCGTTTACCTAAATTTTACTGTTAATTGAACAAACGATCAAAGCAAATGACTAAACTAGCGAGGAAGAACAACACATTAAAAGCATCCGCAGTGATGTATCCTTGCGTGGGGTGTATCTATTTTAAAATACAGAAATAATGTAAAAGTTGTTTCTCTCTTCACACCTGAATGTAAGTTTACACTCGGGTGTAAAACACTTTATCTCTCTCTTTCTTTCTCTCTCTTTTCTCTCTCACTTTAAATTATAATAATAAAAAAAATCTTACACTCCTCCCTCACACTTATACTTAAAGGCAGTAGCAACCTAACACATAGCACTTGGAAAAAAAGTGAAGCAGTAAAAGTATAAAATAATAAAAGGGTGGGTTATCAATTATAGTTTAAATCATAGTTGATTTTTGATATACCCTACCACAAAACTCAAACCGACTTAATTCAAATCATCCCAAAAAAACAAGCGCCAAAATAATGAAAAGAAAACAAACCAAAATAATAATAAAAACATCACACGAAACATAATAATTTACTCTTCGTTATTGTATTAACAAATCAAAGAGATGAATTTTGATCACCTGCTAATACTACTCTTTGTATCGATTCTAGCTATATCTAAAAAAGAAGCTAATAATAAACTAAAAGTACGTTCATCGATCGTGTGCGTTGACGAAGAAGAGCTCTATCTCCGGAGGAGCAAAGAAAACGATCTGTCTCCGTCGTAACACACAGTTCTTTGTGACCCTTTGCTTCTTCGGCGCCGGTGGACACGTCAGCATCTCCGGTATCCTAGACTTCTTAGCTTTTGGAGTACAACAACCGCCGCCGCCGCCACCGCCTGGTGACGACGTCAGCACCGCTGGGGAGGGAGAGGGAACAGAGTAGATTGTGTCTTGAGGAGAAGACAAAGTCGTTGAAGAAGAACATGTAGAGACAATACTTGATGTAGATGTTTGATCTAGAGTTGTACTTGTGTTGGTGTTGTTGTGTTGTGGAACTTGTTTCTTGTAATAGCTCCTTGTGAGTTTTGTTTCAGGTCGGTTTGGTTTTCTTGCTTTTTTTGATGCCATCTTTAAACCTAATAATCAAAAGAGATTTCTTCAGAGAAAAAAAAGAAAGTAAGATGGTTATAATTTCTTTGCGAGGTTAGGTGAGAGAGAAAGAGGGCAGAAAAAGAAGAAGACGAGAGTCGTTGGTTATTGGTCTAGTTAGAATATATACTATATAGTATGAGATACGAGTCAAAACATTAGTGGAGTGTCACTTTAAAGTTTCTAAATTTTGACTACCAAAAGTTTTCACTGAGTCGAACAGGAAAAAAAAAAAAAGTGATAGACTGATCACTGATCTATAAGAAGGTAAAAAGAGTTTTCTTTTGAGGATCAATATTAATGCATGTAACTATATAACTCTGACCACAGAATGGGTACAATATATTTTAATTTGCAGTTTTAAAAGACTACAAGCAGAAGCATTAACAAGAATAAAGGAACCCGAGTGGTATATGAAAGAAAGATATGTACCAATGGATCCAAGATATAATGAAAATTTGCTATATATGTATAAAATAAAAAAGGTTGATTAAGAAAAACATGCGTGAGATACGTTATATTTCAAAATGTTATGAAATTGTTGTGAATATTATTTTTAAACAACTTGTGAGAAAATATTATGGAATTTCAATTTAAAATCATTTGGTAGTGTGTAAAGTGCAGTATATCATATATATATATATATATATATATATATATATATATATATATATATTACTATAGATCTAATATCAATGTCGATCTGCGAGATAATTAGCGATTATTTTGGCTATTTCGAATCAAATCTCAATATAAAATCGATAATATATCTTATTCACACTACCATGATTCTAATACTATATTAAAAACAACCATATGTTTTTAGTGCAAAACTAATTGAAAATGAATGTATTGATCTATATCATTTATATAAAACTGCTAATCTTTTCTGACTTGCAACATATGATCTTAACACCAAGAGAACAGTGATAAACTAGTGAACTAAAGAAAACAAAAAATAAAACATGGATATCTTTGTAAGGTAACATACATGATGTCATAAATTCATGTAAACAGTGGTACTGGTTCACAGAAAAAAACAAGGATATGTTTGGAAGGTAACATAGATGATGTCATAAATTCAGATTAACAGTGGAGCTGGTGCACATACTTGGCCCTTTCACAATTCACATGGTGACTACTGACTGTAACTTTTGGATATAGTAAAAAAATATATACATAAATGGTGTCGGACGATAGAGAGAGAGTCTCTCTAACATTGAGGCCTAAAAGAAGGTTAAATTATTTTGATTTGGATGCACATAGGACCCGACAGCGACAAACCGAGAAAATTGACCTTTTTTCCCATTTCTCTTTAATTTATTGTTTGTTTTTCTTTTTTGTTTTTTCCTTTTTGAGTAGATGAGGTTACTATTAAGTATTAACTACGTTTTCTGCCGTCCAAATAGTTTTGGCCAGAGACTCGAAGACTAAAATGCTAATTAATGATCATATAAAACTTTCTTAAACAATTTTTTCAATCTCATGAAAGATTAATCATAGAGAATTAAGAATATCTATTGATTCAAAAATTTGAGGAGTAAAAGACAAAAGAGAGAGTACTACATTACACTGCATAAAAATTTGTTAAAAAAAGGAATACCGGAAAAATAAAAAAATAAAAAGTTAACACAAACTTTGATGTAAGAAGGAAATCACGTGGACTGACATGCAAATTCAATGTAATATAAGTGTATAACTAACTACTTATACGGTTCTATGTACTCTCTCCCAACTAACTCTTTCTCATTTTGGTTGAGGTTTAGTTGTACGAGTTTTACTATAAGTATCTAAAAATGCCATCTATTTTTTTTTTTTTTTGAAGTCTTGAATTTAATACGAAGAATTCAAAAGTTATACAAGCCCTTTTTTTTTTTTCAACAGTTTACAAGCCTTTTTAAAACACAAAAAGTACATATTCATGCGAGATAGGTTATTGTCATGGGATCCTAAAACATAGGATTCACTGTGCAAGTGGCATTCTCATAAGTCTTAGTTTCACACGGGTAAACGAATTTGAAAACAGCATTAGCAATTATAATATTCATACAAAATTTTGATATCAGACTAATCCATGTGTGTTACAAAAACAGCTCTTATGACTAGTTTAAAGAGAGCATAAAATTAGTGGCTATTATTTCCAATTAATTTCTATGTTGTTGATCAACTCTTAAACAATTCAATTTTTACAAAAATCAGACTCCTACTTCAGATGTGTACAAAGAAGGCAGAATGACAAAGACATGAGATGCAGCTTTAAATTGTATAAACCCAAAGTTTCTTCTGCTTGCATAGTAACAATTTCAGAATCGAAATTATTAAATGCCAACAATTATTGCATGTTTTAGATGTGATAGTAGAAATGAAAAAAGGCAAAGAATCAATACCATAGTATACTACTGTCTACTGAAACATATATGTCCAATGGTTTTGTCCCTACATATAAAAATATGTCTGAAGCATTGTTAAGAGAATCGATTCAAAACCTCCCCACAAGATAACAATACAGAGAAATGCTCCATACTGTTTTTGTTTTCTCACCAAACTTAAATATCAATAAGGACAAATTGATTTCTCCAGTTTGTTTACAAATACTACAAAGAGTCCAAAACGATTCATCTATTCAAGGTTTCTGACGACCTTGAGACGGTGACATTTTAACCACATGTCTCACAGACAAGAGTATCAAATCAAGAATTCAAGATTCCTATTCCCACAACTTCAGTGAAGCCTAATGTTACAATCCAACAAGGGTTCTTACGATAACAACGCGAGTGAATCAAAACTGACTCTATTGTTGCAGGTGCATGGAACTTTTGACCAATACAGCACAACAAAATCTAAAGAATGGATAAAACTAGTTCTCTGACCAGATAGTACATCAAAACCGGAACCATCGATGCATCGGAATTGTGATCTTAGGAAAATCATTGAGAAGAGGTATGAAACTACCTTGAGTGATGCTGTATCACCTTCCTCTTGATAGTGCCTCCTCTAACTCCTCAACCGATGAAGGAAACAATTCTATGTAACGGCTCCCAAGCGTCTTCCTATCCTTAACCATTGCAGCTCGTGACTCTTCTGCATTCCTAAACTCCACAAATGCTTCCCCAGTGGGTCTCCCTTCACCATTAACAGTAACATGAACAGAGTCTTCAGACAGCTCGAAATCTTTGAAGAAGTCAAGTATGTCCTCCTTTCCGGCTGAGAACGGTAATCCTCTCAGTCTCAAGGTACCTGTATGTTCAATATCCTCTTTCCCATCATCACTCGATCTAGCCCTCTGCACATGTCTGCGAGGTGAACTTCCACCACTAATTCGACCTCCACCGCCACCACCTCCACCTCCATTGCCACCACCTGTACCTCCACCGCCACCTCCACCACCGCCACTAGCCATACCATGGACACGAGATTCGGCAACCTCATTAGCAATAGCCTTATAGTACTCCTGTTTCGTACTCCTAAAAACTTCTACATATCTCCTTCCCATGTTCTGCCTGTTCTTTTGAAGAGCAAAATCAACCTGGAGGGGATAACCCAAAACGCAAAAGGCTTCTCCAGTGACCTTATTATTCTTGTGAACAAACAAGACATCAACCACATCCAAACCATGAAAAAACTCTACTACATCAATCTCTGCGCAATCGAAGGGTAAACCACGGAGTCGAACAGCAGGAAAAGGAGGAGGTGGAGGAGGAGCAACAAATCCATAAGGGTTATACATAAAGCCAGAACCAGGATGAGGTCCATAAAATGGTCCAGGAGGACCTTGATCAATCATTCTTTGACGCTTAGGTCCCATCTCACGCCCATCAGGACCATCTCCATATCTACATTCACCACAAACATATCACAGCTAAAGTTCAACACTTTATTGAATAAACTAACTTAAAGGTCGAAAATTTCCCACAAAAAACAAACAATTAAAGAAAATCGCAACAGATTAAACTTCATCAGAGAGTTAATTAAGTAATTCAGGATTGATTCGAACGAACAAAACCCTAATTGCGGGAACTATTGAAATCAAATAATTGGAGAACAAGTCAGAGATAATTATAGGGCTTACCCTCTGTAGAACATTATCGATTGCGCAGAGTATTAGCAGTGCCTCCTGATTTGGATGATCAAATCGATTGGAACTTTCGAGGAGCTTCTTCTTCTTCTTCTTCTCTGAGCCTTCGAATTCGAAATCGTTGCTGAGAGAGAAAGAGCGTTACAATTAGGAAAAAAAACCGGAGAAGGAAAATAAATTGGGCTCTTGGGCTTTTAGGCTTGGGCCTTAATACATTAAGACAATTTTGCTGGATCAGCTTTCGTGCTGATGTCAAAGAATATAAGTTTAAAACCGAAAAAAGAAAACAAAACAGTCGCTTTGGCCGAGTGGTTAAGGCGTGTGCCTGCTAAGTACATGGGGTTTCCCCGCGAGAGTTCGAATCTCTCAGGCGACGAATCCTTTTTATTTTTTTATTTTTTATTTTCTCATAATACAATTATTTAATTAATATACTGGCGGTAAACTTAGAACTTGTGAAAAAATCATGTTTTGCCATGCCATTTATAAAGGGAAAAATGTCATTTAATAGCCCAACTTTCAAATTGTGGCCATTTGGCACACCAATTTCACATATGGCCATTTTATACATGCTAAAATCGTTGACTTCCGTTTAGCACATGACAAAATCGTTGACCAAGCCAAAACAATACGCTGTTAACAGATCCGCTAACACCCGTTAAAACTTCCGTTACTGTCCAAAACGACGTCGTTTTGGTCTTAATCGAAACTTCAAAAAGCTCAAAAATCCCCAAATCACAAAAATCAAATCCCTAATTTTTCATCAAATCCTTAATAATGGCGGAGAGATCAGATTCAGAGGAAGTGAAGCTTTTGGACTGCAGCTGTCTTTTTTTCTACCCTGAAACTGGCTCTCTCTCTCTCCCGTTAATTCTGTTTTGTTTGCGTTTTCGAATCTGAAATTTTCTCTGGCAATCGATTTTTGGTTTTTTTTTTTTTTTTTTTTTTAAATTGATTTTGAAATCGTTTATACGGATTATGATGATTATTTTGGAGATAACGATGAGGATATACAGCTCCCTCTTCTGATTAAGCTGAAGAGAATTGCTGCCAGAATCGAACCTAAATCACTAGCCACTACTAAGTTATCTCCTTAATCATCGTAATTGGTTTTGAATAGTTTGATTTTTGTTTCCAAATCAGGAATAGGCCAGT